CTTCATCTCTATTCTAGATTATAAGCACCCAAAGGTCAAGGTTTGTGTTTGTTTCATCTGTGTACCCCTTTCTCTTGCCCCCCTATAAAGAGCTTTGCATATAGCAGGTGCTCAATAAACATACCTTGAATTAAGTGAACTAAAGCCTGCAATTCGGGCTGCTGGGACCTGAAGGAGGTGGGAGCGGGGTGCTCTGAGGCTTCAGGAGGCTGTAGGAGGGTCCTCAGAATAGGGAGGCAAGCACCTGTACAGTGAGGTGAGTGGGGAGTCTGGGCCTCCTCAGAACCTTTGCTGAAGAGAAGCAGGCGGCTGAAAGGGCCTTGGTGATGTCGTGGGTTGAGGAAGGACACCAGATATTGAGGGAACTACAGGTTGGCTCCAGCGCCCGGTATGATGGATCCCAACTGTCTGCATTCTGAGTGACAGTCAAAAAAAGGGGGAGAAGCCTTGAAGCTTGGATTCTGTTCACATCTTCTTCACCTTTTAGCTGCGTAGCCTTGGGCAAGTTACTTCCCCTTTCTGGGCCTATTTGTCTGTAAAATAGGTCCCTGACCTCCTATGACTCTTCCAGCTCTGCTATTCTGACTCCATGTCGAGGTTCTGAAGTAGAGGGGTAAAGCTCAGTGGGGATTTGTACAGGATCCGCCACCCCCGCATACATACACCAGGTCTGAGCACCAGGAATGACCCCACCGAGGACCTGGACCAGAGAAGATGACAGAGTCCTAAGCCGTGCGGAAGGAGGCAGGTGGACTGGCTCAGAGGATATGGAGGTGGGTGGCAGGGTGAGACAACACCCCCATTTCAGAGCAAGTACTGTGCCCAGTTATCAGGCCCCAGGGAAAGGTTTTCACGGACCCACCACCACCACCACCACCACCACCACCACTGACTTTCCTTTCCATGCTCCCCTGTCTGCTTCCTTGCCTCATCCCCAGACTCAGTAAATATAGATCTGGGATTTGAATCCCAACTGTGTGGCTCCAAGAAAGTCACTTAACCTCTCTGAGCCTCAGTTTCCACATCTGTAAATAGAGTTATTGAAACTCACTCAGAAGATTGTTATGAAACTACTCATGTGAAAGTGCCCGGTACTGTGTCTACTGATAGATCTCTCTTCCTGAGTCGGAAAGAGGACAATTGGTACAGATTGCTCTGTAGGCCACGGGGTAAATGGTTAATGGTGCTTCGCAGGGGCACGGTGGGAGAGCATTCAGAGGGGCAGGCCCATGGAGGGGGGAGGCTGGATGGGAAGACAGGCAGAGAACTATTATCCAAATAGTCCCTGACCACTAGTGAGGAAGGGCCACTCTGCCTGGAGACATATTTATTGTGTAGTTCTCAAAGACCCAGGAACTCTTCGAGAATTTTTCTATAAGGGTCCAGCATTGAGTCTCAGGTGATGGATTGGGGGTGGGCCACATGAGGAAGGCTCCCTGGTCTCATAGCAGGCCTGGCCTGCTCATGCACTGTGGGTGTTCCTGCCACTCTTTTGAGCTCGGTTCATCCGAGGCCCTCAGTTTCTAATTTGGTTGGGAAGGATTTATTTTTGGGTCCCTGTAACCTAGCAATGGGCTCACATGACCAGTGGCAGCTGCAGGCTGAATATACCGTTGGATCTTGGCTCGTGGCAGGGGGTACAGGCCAGACTGTGGGGGAATAAAGAGAATGGAAAGGTTCTCACCTCTGCTTTCTTCTGTCTCCCTCCTGAGTCCCTCAGCTTGGCTCCTAGATGGTGGGCAGGGGGGCAGGGTCCTGGGGAGCAGGCACAGGGGGTTCTGGATGCCAGGAGCAGCTGTGGGGAAAGGTCCCAGCTCTGAGCCCTCCTGGGGGAGGGGAGGGTTGGGTGTCCATGAGGATAGAGGTGAGTGCAGGGAGGATGTGATATTGGCATCCTGGGGGTGAAGCCAGGCTGGGAAATAGGCGGTTGAACAGTCTATGATGTGGGATCTCAGGGACACCCATGGTCGGTGCTGGAATCCCAACATTCAGCTTCTTCCCTCTGTTCCCTGTTAAACTGTTAATATTCCTAGGAGAGAGAACACATTAAGCTGCTCTGCTCTCAGTGCAAATGGATTTATCAGCCTCTTTTCTGAGAGCAGGCTCTGACAGAGGCGGAGAGAGCAGAGAAGGGGGGCAGTAGGTGCCACTAAGCAGGTGAAGGCTACAGGGAGGGGGGCTGTGGGCATGTAAAAAGCATTCGACAGATACTTATTGAATAAATAGATAGATGAATAAAAGATGAACCTGGTCTACTTCCAGGTCTTATCTGACGGGACAGGAAAGGGTGGGTGAGGGGCGGACATAGCCCTGTCAAGAGGTGCTGGTAAGGCAAGGGTGGGCGGGGCTGCACCAAGGAGCCAGTCTGGGTTGGAGAAATCAGATCTCAGCACCAAGGGCCCTCCCATGATACTGAGGGGAGGGGTGTCACTGCCCCTGACTTGTGACGGGAGCCCAGTCCTGGGTATACATACAGCATGGGGGACAAGGATCTCAGCTGTGGTTCGTGGGACCACCCTTAGTTTCTCCACCTTGGTCTTTCCCATCTCCTTCCTTATACTAGCCTCTAAAAGAAAGGTTTGGCGGAGTGGGCGGGGGCTGTAATGTCAATAGCTATTCCAAAACGTGATTGAGATCATTTAATGAGATAGAGCATAAGAAGTGCCTCCCCAGACTGGGTCCTCAAGAACTAATATCATCATCATTATTGTTGTTTTTGTTGTTATCATCATCATCATCATCATCATCTGCCTCCAGGCGAGGATAGACAGTCCCCCCTCCCCACTCCTGAGCCAAAATAGCTTCCAGTAACTGAGAGGATGCTCTAGGGTCCACTGCCTCCTTAGAACCAGCTTTCCCAACAACTCTCTGGGAGAGGCCTCAGGACCCGGAGACTTTGGCTTCTGGCCACCATGGCAGTTGTTCGGCCAGTCAGGGTAACTCTACTAGCTCCCCTAAGGCTATGTTTGTATTGCAGGCTGCCTATCCCTATTAGATTAACTGCGGAGTGAAATATTTTGCCCATTTTACAGATGTGCCTTAGTTTTACCAACAAAAGGAGAGCTCGATTAGAACCAATGTTTTCTGACCAATCTAGCTCTTTCTCTAATCCTGTTTTAATAAACTTGAGTCTTCTCTGGTTCTTCTGAACCCTTGGAAGGGGGCCATGTCAGTCTGGGCTGGGTCCCCGCAGGAAGGAAGTAGGTGTTGATCAGTGCCAGGCTTTACCTGATCCCAGAGGATTTGATTGACTCCAAGATGATCTTGCCAACATGACAGCACAGGGTTTGATAAAAATCACTTTGCTGTCTACAAGGTTTAATGTGATATTTTAATTTGATTTCCCTTGTGCCCAGGTACATCTAGTTTTGTCGTAAAATGCTTCCTGGAAGGCACTGGCTGCTTCTATGGAATCGCTTTGGAGCTTCTGCCCAGAGTCTCATTTCAGGCCTCCAGAGAGGCCATTGGGGCATGGGGGAAGGAATAAATGCCTTGGCTTCAAATGGGTTCAAATACCGGGTTCAAATATTTACTCACTATGTGATCTGGGGAAAGTCACGTAACCTCTGGCACCCATTGCTTCACCTGTAAAACAAGGTGAGTAATGGTTGCCTCATAGAACTGGTGTAAGGAGTGAAGGAACTGCATGTAAAGTGCCTGTCACTCATAAGGGCTCACGAAAGGGTGGCTAAGGACAGCAGAGATCACTGAATTGGGCCTGGGCTGGTCAGCGGCCTCTTTGTTGTTGACCTGGGGCAGCTACCTTGGCCCTGCTTGAGTTCCCTGGGTGGGTAATTCATTGTTCTTATGGCTCTTTGGGTTGGATCTGGTAAACAATTCCAGAATTTCCTTTCTTCCCTTTTAGAGACAGAAGGAGTTTCTGGATGGACACGTCTCAGGGCAGAGAGCTTTGAAGTAGGTATCAGGCCTGATTTCCTTGTCTAGGCTCATGGCTCTGCCAGTGTGGTTCTGGGCAATCTCTTTACCTCTCTGGGCCTCGGAAGCCTGGATGCCTTGGCCTATAGAGTGTCTTACAGCTCTACAATGTTAAGATCCTATCCTTGGGTGTCAAGCCTGTACCTGGGGACACTAACCGTTTTCTTCATAGCTAGTGGGAAGCCATGGCCCTTCCTCTCACCACCAAAGGTTCATTGCATGGCCTTGGACCCTCCATGGATGATGTTCCCCAGCTCTGTCCAGTCCTACAGACCAATCGGAGCCTTCCCAAGTACCTGGCTCCCACTCTGCCTTCAGGGAGCAGGTTATGGTGGTAACACAGGTGGCTCACAGGGATGTTAGATACCCCCATTTCCATCAGCTCTCATAGCCCCACACCAAGTAAACATACAGTCTAAGGAAACAATAATAGTGTGCTTTCTGAGGGGCCAGTGCAGGGTTAGGACAAGGCCTTTAGCACCCCTTCACACCCAACCATCACTCTGAAACCTGTCCTCCATATACATTCAGCAGCTTCCAAGGAGCCAGACCTTGGGCCAGTCCTGGACCCTTAGCCTCTGCCAGGCCTAAGCCCGGGGCTCTGTGTCTGCACTGACTGGCCTGTTACAAAGCACCTTGGTTCTCAGGTTACCCAGAACCATGCAATTTCAGGGCTGTCAGGAATCTCAGGGATCATCTATCCTATGTCCTCTTTGAACATATAAGAAACCAAGGTCAGAAATGGGAAGTGACTTGCTCAAGGTCACACAGCTAGTAAGTGCCAGAGCCAGGCCTGAAACCTGGATGTTCTGACTGCGAGTGCTCTTTTTACTACTTCTGCCTGACCAGGTGGGTCTCCCCTACCTCCCATCACCTGGCCCCACTAGGCTTTTGAGATGCCACTCAAGCAGCCTAAGGGAAGTGGGAGGGGCAGGGGCTGATTCTGGGTGCCTTGCCTGAGGGCGTGGGTGTCTGAAGTGGCTCCAAGGGGCTGGGTGGGAAGTAGGAGGCCATTAGGACCCAGAAGCTCTCAGAGCATCCTGCTCTGCCGGCTGCCTCTCACGCTCACTGCAGTGGCTCAGGCTTCAGCAGCCTTGGAGAAGCATCAGCTGAGAGGAGCTATCACATGGGAACTGGGAGCTGCTCAGCAAAGGTAGGAGTTGCCGACTAGGCCAGGAATGGGGGCAAGACCAGGGCCTGGTGCTGGGTGCTCAGGTGCCCTACAGAAGGGTCGCTCTGCATCCCAGGGACCAGCCCACCCTATCTTATGGTGGGCAGTTGTGCCAAGGATGGCTCCCAGGTATCCCGAGGCAGTACTGGGGTGTGGGCATCTCTGAAGCCTAGAGATGGGATTGATCTACTACCAGCAGGAGTACCCACATCCTGCAGGCAGACAGGGTTCTCCATCTATCTTGCTCCATGTTACAGAGATGAGTCCCCTATGTCCTAGGAATGGGTCATTTGGCACCCAGGCCGATAGGTAACTCTGTGTCCTGGGTGTAGGCAACTCTGCTAGGGAGAGGTGCTGCAGCCCCCTGGAAACCTTCCCTGGCTTAGGAAGGGTGTGCTCATGTCTAAAGAAAGGCCAGGCTTGGGTCCTTGGGATGGCAGCTCCGTATCTGGGAAACAGGTGCATGAAGCCCACTGACCCTCTGCGGCCTTGGGCTGGGCATCAATAGGCAGCTTGCATGTTGAAATAAGGATATTTGTAACTTGACCAGGTCCCTGCTAGAGGCCCAAACCTTAGTCCCTAGGGTGGCAAAGCCTTCAGATACTGAGAGGTCCTAGAGGTGGGTGGGAGGGGGGCTGCTGGAAGGAAGCAGTGGGAGGACAAGAGCATCTGAGAAGGCATGATGACATGAGCTAGGATAGGACCGAGGCTCCCGGCTTCCCCTGTGACACCCTCACACCACAGCCCTCTCCGCCTCAACCCCAGCCCAGCAATGAGGGAGTACCCGGGAGCAGGTATATGGGTCTATCTGTTAGGAGGTCAGTTGGAATCCTGGAATTGAGGAGTCAGTGTGGAGATGCTGGCAAGGCCGAGGGAGCTGTGGAAAACAGAGATATCCAAAGCTTTCTTGCTTAGGGCTCCATTATGACTGCACAACACTCCCGCCATCTCCACGTGGAAAGCATGTCTGCTTCCCTCAGCCCGGGACCCTGGGTGGGACCTGCTGGCAGACTCCTGATGTCCATGCAGCTCTGGTGGGACTTTACTTTTTCAGCTCCCAGGGCCTCAGAGCCACATCTCTTGGGCCCCACTCTCAGGTAGAAGGGATGGGGAAGTCAGGGCATGGGGAATAAAGGCAAGAATGTCTCCCCTAGTATTTCTTTCTGCATTTTTTTTTCTGATAGACTGTCCTATGAGAAGCTGATGTCTTCACTTTGGATCTCTCTCTTCATCTTTTCTGCAGCCCCTGAGTCTGTGTGGCCATTTTAACTGTGAAATGAGCTTTCTGTTATCCCTAAGGAGAGAGGCACGTCTCTAGGCAGTTGTCCAAAGTTAGGGCTGCCTCAAGTCTGGGAACCCAGGTTACTCTTTCCAGGAGAGAGGCTCCTGGCTGGCACACAGCTGACTGACTGAATGTTCCTGGAGTATGTATTGGCAGCAGAAATTCAACTGATCAATTTGAGTTTGATTCAATTCATAAAATTGTGTTGAGTACCTATTGCCTGCCTGGCATGCAAGAAGTTAAATTAGTGCAAAGTTGAGGACAGTGCCAGAAACCAAGGGTGATTGTAGGGTGTTACTATGGAGGGGGATTGGGGCCCATCTGCCCCACATGGTCCTCTTTATTGCAGTCAGCGAAATTATGTGTTTTTTAATTGAGCAACTGCCAGCCCCTCTGTAGCCCAGGAACTCACAGAGCCATCAAATGTTATCATATATAGGAACCTTGGAGGTGGTCCAGTCTAACCCTCCCATTTTACAGATAAGGAAAGTGGGACCCAGGAAACTTGTGACTCATTTATAGAAAGCCCATCAGACTTGGCATGTCCATAGTCTGCCTCTCATTTGCATCCCTTAGCACACTATACTGAGGGTGTCTGGACTGTGGGAATAGCATACGGAAATGAAAAAAATTTAAAGTTTCATTGGGCAGTTTAATTCAATTATATGCAAACTCAGCATGGACAATGAGGCACATAAAACAGATTTGATCTGCCATTTGATCAGGAGAAATGAGAGTTGCTGAAACCCCAGACTTCTTCCTCTCCCAGTTTCTTACAGTTTTCTTTTCTGCTTCACGCTCACTCACTTCCACTATCGCAGTCATCTACCCACTCTCACATCTAACCCTCTCTTCCACCGATGCCTGCTCCTCCCTCCCTGTTCTGTGATATGGTAGCAGTCCTGAAACAAGAGGGCTTTGGGCCAGGGGTTGTCAGGTGGTCAGCTTCAATGACCAGAGATCTGAGGCCCTGGGGAGTGGGAGGTTCGGGCCAGCTCCTCTCCCATCTGCAGGGGCACAGTGGACTTGAGAAGTTAATGGGTGGGTGGAGAGGCCAGACTTTTGCCCTTCCGGCTTTGGGAGCGGTGGGGGCTGGATGAGCTGGCCTCCCAGTTTCCTTCCAGCTGGGACGTTTTCTTATGACTGCTCCTTCTTAAGACTCCCAAAGTGTGAGCTCTTTGTCTTGGGGGTGGTTTTGTCAGACTAAAGTACAGTCCTTCCCTTTTTCAGGGGAATAGCTTCTCAGTGGTAGTCCCAGAGCAGGGAGAAACATTTTTACAGATGGTTCAAATTCGACTACTATTTACTGAATGCCGATTCTATTCCAGCCACTGTGGAAGGGCACCATCAAGTGAGGCATGGCACGGTGGGCTAGAAGAGTACTGGCCCGGGAGCCAGACCGCCTGGGGTCCTACCCAGACCCTGCCACTTACTAGCTTTGTGACCTTCGGTAAGTTACTTAACCTCTCTAGGCCTGTTTCATCGTGCAACTTGGGGATAAGAATATCTACTTAACAGGGTTGCATGAGGATTAAAATGAGTTAATATATTGGGTTGTTGGAAAAGTCATGATGTATTGTTCTATGTTTTTTGTTGCAAAAATGCATCATGACTTTTCCGATAACCCAATACATAGAAAACTTAGAACAGGGCCTGGTCACTGCTTATTATTAGTATTATTATTAATAAATCTCACAGTGTCCTCTAAACACGATTGTGAAGTAGGTATCATTCCCTTTATTTTACAGATGCCTTTATGAGGAAACTGACGTTCAGAAGAGTCACTGAGTTAGTAATTCCCAGACCTGGGACTGGAAGCCAAATCTTGTGCTCTGTCTGCTCCCCAATAGCTCCTACCATTCTGAGGAAACCAGAAATCAGGAAATTTACATAAGCAACCTGAAAACTGGGGCACTGTCCAGAGCTCATCAGGACCCTGGGAAAGGGGAACAGAGGATTTAGAATCTCTGGATAACAGTCCTTGAAAGGGGAGAAGGGTATGGACAACAGAGGAAAGGAAGTGGGAAAGAAGGCACCAAGGCTCCCTCAGCCTGCGTCTTCTCAGTCACCAAGGCAGACCTGGAACTACCTCCTCTCAGAGAGATGGGCTCCTGAGCCCTCAGCTCCTGGCCTGGCACTCTGTACCAGCAGCCCAGCCTCGGAGGCTGACAATAAGAACCTGCCTGCGAGATAGACTCCCACAGGAGGCACCCTGTCCCCCGACCCCCACGCATAGCATTGGGAAGCCTGGGCCTGGGCTTGCCATCCCAGGGTCACTGGACTAGGATGGGGGATGGGCCTGTGACAGGAGGTGCCCTGGGTGTCCTCTTTCGGCCCCATGGAGTCCTCACCCATCCCCCAGTCATCAGGGAACTCTTCCACTCTGGGGAGGGTCCCCCAAACCCCAGGTCCCTCTACTGCCAGTGGGGTCCCGGAGGTGGGGCTGCGGGACGTGGCTTCAGAATCGGTGGCCCTCTTCTTTATGCTCCTGCTGGACTTGACCGCTGTGGCCGGCAATGCTGCTGTGATGGCTGTTATCGCCAAGACACCTGCTCTCCGAAAATTTGTCTTCGTCTTCCACCTCTGCCTGGTGGACCTGCTGGCTGCCCTGACCCTCATGCCGCTGGCCATGCTTTCCAGCTCTGCCCTCTTTGACCATGACCTCTTTGGGGAGGTCACCTGCCGCCTCTACTTGTTCCTGAGTGTATGCTTTGTCAGCCTAGCCATTCTCTCAGTGTCGGCCATCAATGTGGAGCGCTACTATTATGTGGTCCACCCCATGCGCTATGAGGTGCGCATGACGCTGGGGCTGGTGACCTCTGTGCTGGTGGGTGTGTGGGTAAAGGCCTTGGCCATGGCTTCTGTGCCAGTGTTGGGAAGGGTCTCCAGGGAGGAGGGAGCTCCCAGCGTCCCCCCAGGCTGCTCACTCCAATGGAGCCGCAATGCCTACTGCCAGCTTTTCGTGGTGGTCTTTGCTGTCCTTTACTTCCTGGTGCCCCTGCTCCTCATCCTTGTGGTCTACTGCAGCATGTTCCGGGTGGCCCGCGTGGCTGCCATGCAGCACGGACCGCTGCCCACGTGGATGGAGACGCCCCGGCAACGCTCTGAGTCTCTCAGCAGCCGCTCCACAATGGTCACCAGCTCGGGGGCCCACCAGACCACCCCGCACCGGACGTTTGGGGGCGGGAAGGCCGCAGTGGTCCTCCTGGCCGTGGGGGGGCAGTTCCTGCTCTGCTGGCTGCCCTACTTTTCTTTTCACCTCTACGTGGCCCTGAGTGCTCAGCCCATTTCGACCGGGCAGGTGGAGAATGTAGTGACTTGGATTGGCTACTTCTGCTTCACTTCCAACCCTTTCTTCTATGGGTGTCTCAATCGGCAGATCCGGGGGGAACTCAGCAAGCAGTTTGTCTGCTTCTTCAAGCAGGCTCCAGAGGAAGAGCTGAGGCTGCCTAGCCGGGAGGGCTCCATTGAGGAGAACTTTCTGCAGTTCCTTCAGGGGACTGGCTGTCCCACAGAGTCCTGGGTTTCCCGACCCTTACCCAGCCCCAAGCAGGAGCCAGCTGCTGTTGACTTTCGAATTCCAGGCCAGATAGCTGAGGAGACCTCTGAGTTCCTGGAGCAACGACTCACCAGCGACATCATCATGTCAGACAGCTACCTCCGTCCTGCCCCCTCCCCTCGACCTGAATCATGATGGGCTGCTGGACACTTGGAGGGAGATGGGGCTGGAGGGTGGTTAGGACTGCAAGGAACACCTTGTGGGATCACCTTTGCCCGGCTAGCTGGGGCTGGGGCTGGGGTCTCTGCACACAGCTTTTGCTTGGTGTTTTCTGGGTCAGGAACAGAGCCAACAGGATGGACATGTGGCAAAAGCCTTGGACATGGCTATGATCCTTGACTACTGGGGGAGGGAACCTGGTGATGAGAGTAAAGGTCACGAAGGTGAGATGATGCTTTTCAACCAGCTAAGTTTCCATGCCTCAGGAAGCAGGGAAACTCTCTAAGGGTAGGAGGTGGAGGATACAGGGCAGCAGTCCAGGTTTCGAGTTATTCTGGGGACGCTTTAGGAGATTTCATTTTTCAGTGTAATTGTTCAGGACAGTAATTGCGCCCAAGCAAGGTAAGAAAATGACCCATGTCTTTACATCTCTTTGCAAAAACTAAATTCCTTATAAAGAGCTAAATTACTGCCAAGTGTTTCCATTTGAATTAATAGCTCTTTATCTAGCTTTAGACCTGAGGTTTCCTTAAAGTGTGAGGACCAGCAGGGTACATTCTTTTCCTGTTTGTCCAGAAGCAATGGGAAATATCAATCAGGGTACAGAGAGCAGAAGACAGGAAAGCTGACTGCAGCTCTCTCTCACCCCCAGTAACAGCCCTTCTGTTCTATTTCTCTGTCTCTCTCCTGTACTTGGGAGATCGGGCTTGGGGCTTGGTCTCCACAGAGGCATGAATAAGACAGGGTGGCTCTTTCTTCTTGTCTTTTAGGATGAAGAAGTGGAAAGGTTGGGGGTTGGATGGTTGAAGGTGGGGGGTTAGCATTTGAATTGCTAAGGCTGTTGGGTACAGAGAGGCCAGGCAATCACCCTGACCAATAATACTGTATTTTTTTTTTCTTTCTAGGACTGGCTTCCCTGATCTCTCTCCTCATGACAGTGACCCACCTCCAGCCCCCTGGACAATCGGGTACAAAGACTAAGGTTGGGAATGGGTAGGGTGGGGTTTCCATGGTCCATTAAATGCCTCCCTACTCCCATTCATCGCTCTCAAAATTAGCTTCAGTGACAAAGACTTAAATTTCTCTCCTATCTGCAGCCCTGGGTTGGAGAGGGCACAGGAGTGGGGCCCAGCTGTTCACTGATAGAGACTATAGGAGCTGCATTGGTTGGTATTGATGGTGGTATTTTTGAAGGGAGGGGAGATAACTGCAAACTGGATAGGACATCCATTTGTGACTACTTGTCCATCCACTTCCCTCAATTGAATCAGGTAACATTAAAGGGTCAAGGGAGTACCAGAGGGTGGTGTGGTCTGTATTTGAACAAATTCCTGGCTCACTGAGCATCAAAGGAGAATATGGCCTGGTGGGAGTGGTTTAGTTTCCCCTTTGAACAGCCAATAAATAATTTTTATCATAAAAGTTATATTGATTATCAACATTGACTCCTTCAGTTCAATTCAGTGCATAATAGTTGAATACCCAATATTTTCTGGGACCCACCTAGAGGATGTGGAGTCACTGCCTTCAAGGAGGTCAGTCTAATTTGACCAGGTACCTTGCATTTTTACAGAGCATTTACCTCTGTTGAAGCACTATAGAATGTGTGTGAGAAATGTACTGGAGAATATGTTCATGGTTCTAACTTATGAGAGTTCAGTCCGTTACAGCAAGATACCTACACGGAGGCTTCCTATAGACTATGTAAAGTGTGGGGGTTGTAAATGAAACTCTACTTGAAAAAATAACTCATTAAATGAAACTGGGCAAACAGCTTTCGCCCTTTAGATCTAGGAAAATTCCCAGGTTTCTGTCTTCCTACTACTAGACTTACTCTAGTCTAGTGCCTATTATATTGAGGAAACCCCTTAGATAGTATATACACCAAGAAGAGTCTTTTGTGATTGCAAAACATATTCTCTCTCCTCCCTTTTAAGATAAACTCATAATGGAGGAATCTCATTCCTAGATAGGGAGGGGGCAACTCTTCCAAATATCACTAATCTGCTAGTAGGCCCTAAGGATTGCCAGTAGGTGGCAGTGTGAGTCCAGTGGAAATAGGAAAGGTGCCTGTAAGTGGGTAAAGGGGTGTGGGGAGGACATTAAACATTGCCTGGCAGCCATTTTAATTCATTTTGCCTTTTCCTTTGACTTTGCCCTCCAACCCTTCCTTCCCATACATCAAAGAAGAAAATTTTAAGTTCAAGGATAACTCTAATTCAGGCTGAAATTTCCTGGCACTGTGATCTCACTGGCATTTATTACAGAATTTGACATATGCTGACTCGTTTGCCATTTATTTTTCCCTTAGTGGATCACGAAAGAAATAAAAATTTCTCTTCTATTATGCTGAGAACTTTCCTGGCAGTTTCTGCCATGACAACTTTCTAGGAGTTTTCTAGTCATTAGGATTGCTTGGGTAAAGTTTGATGTGTAATCCATAGCTGTGAAAGTTGTTCCTGAACAAAATTTGACCTCCCTAATCCACTGAAGAATCAGTAACTGTTTTGTCAGTTACTTTTTCCTGCACCCTGGTCGTGTTGGGGTAACTCTCAATCCTAGATGAAAACCTTGTCGGGTCTCCCGAGGTAATACAGTGAGTGGCATGGTAGAAAAGGGGTGAATTTGGAGTCAGACAGATACACTTACTGTGTGAACTTGGGAAAGATGCTTAATTTCTGAGCCTATTTCCTCATCTGTAAAAATGGGGATAACATTACCTACCTCACAGGGTTGTTGTGAGGATTAAGAGATGATATGTGGAAGCACCTAGCCATACTTGGCAAATAGGTACTCAATAAAAACTGGTTTTTCTTCCTTTTCCTCTTGCCCTTTCTCCCCATAAGTACTGATCATGGGAAAGCAGTCCCTTTTATTCTAACAGTTATTAGGAAATGAGTAGGAGACTTCAAACTTTGAAGAACTGGTATTAAGCTATGGGTATTAAGGGATGAGGCTGTTTAAGGTGGCTCTCGAGAAATCCCTCTAATTATTGAATCATCATCATATAGAGTTTTCTGTTGGGACCTTATATTCTAAGGTTTAGATTCTATTAGGGAAGTAATTTTAATCACAGGGAAAGGTTTTGAAGGCTACAAGAGTTCCCCTCCCTGTGATGTATGGTATTTGTGGGTCTGTTTGGCAGTAAAGATAATTTAGGGTCATCGTCACAGTAGTACCCAAGATTATGAGAGACAAGACTATCAATCTGGGGCTTTCATAGGGGATTTATTAATTTTCACACGATGCTACAGCTGAGAGGCCAATTTTACTAGAACTTCCCTTTTTGTGTGGTACCACAACAGGAAATTTTAGGAGAGTCACAGAATGCACTGGTTTGTATTGGGGCGTGGGGCTGAGTTTAAGTAATCTTGGTAGAAGTCCTAAGCCCCTGACGCAGACGGAATGTGAGCACTGAAACAGGCATATACTGGGAAAGGCGGCATGGAAATTTTATGAAGGAACTACATACACGCTTACCTTTCGGGTAGTATCTCCTATGCAGCCCTCTGCCAACATAGTGGCTGGGCAACTCTCAAGCCCACAGAAATTCGTACATAACAGCACAAGGACCAGAGAGCAGGAGGCAGTAGGCCAGAGAAGGCAGAAAGGGATCTCTCAAGTCCTAGGCATGGTCGGCCTTACAGATACGCGGCCCGGGCCCAGGCTCTGTAGTTTGTTCCCATTTGGCTTAGACGATCTCGGCAGAGAAGGTGTCCTACACTTACTTGGGCCGGGAACCCGAGTTTCCAAATCCAGAGATCAAAGGGGGCTTTCTGGCCAGTGAGAAATTCTCAGCAGAAATTTCCGTGCGGACTATGGGCTCTTATTTGGGAATCACCCCCACCAACACACCCATCCAAAACAGGGCTGTGTGACTTCGGGAGGGCGCCATGAAGTAAAAGAAGCTAGTCCCCCGTTTTTTTTTACACTTATCCAAATAAGGAAGCCGAAAAGGTGAAAGGGGTCTAATGTCGAGCAGCGCAAAGTGAGTTCCACAGGACCCGGTTAAGCGGGGAGAACCGCAGCCAAGCATCGCCCACCTCCTCCCCATACTTCCGCTTCCGGTTGCACCTTTTCTACACCAGCTGGAGGAGCTCAAACAGTAACGGCCGCTGGGCGTTGCCGGAAGTGTCGTAAACACCGGATATCCGGTTTCTCCGGGCGCTCACAGAGCTGACCGAGAGGGCCACCGCCCAACAGTAGACGCTGTCTCGGCCATTCGAATCGCAGTCTCCGTGGTGTGTGAGTGAGCCCGGGCCCGGTCCCCTCTCCCGCCGCCGCCATGGGCTGCACGTTGAGCGCCGAAGACAAGGCGGCGGTGGAGCGGAGCAAGATGATCGACCGCAACTTGCGGGAGGACGGGGAGAAAGCGGCCAAAGAAGTGAAGCTGCTGCTACTCGGTGAGGGGCTGGGGGCGGGGCTGGCGGGTGTTCGGGAGGGCCTAGGCACTTGGGGGCCCTGAGGGACAAGACCCCGAAGCGGGTGGAGGGCGTGTAGGACATGAGGTGGGGTTTGGGGGTTGTAGGAATTAGGCTGGAGAGGGTGTGACTTCGTGCTGGAATTGCGTTTAGCGAAGAGTTTGGGGCAATAGGACATTTAGACTTAGGTATGGGGAGAAGCTCATAAAGGAAGAGGATGATATCAGGGACGGTTTTGAAAGGTGTTGGAGTGTGTTGGTAGCAAGGAGGACGGGAGAGTGTGGTGGGTTTGTATAATGGCTTGTGAGTTTAGAGCGTGGTGACACTTTAAGACAAGGTAAGAGCTGGAAGGCTTGAATGATTATAAATAGAGAGGATAGGACAGAGTGGTCACAAGAGGACCCAGCCATTTATTAGAGAGTGAGCATTTTGAACTGTTGGTAAGGTGGAGGAATCCTGGATTATCCAGTAACATGAAGGTGTGTGGTTGAGATAAATCAAAAGTTCTCAGGTATAAAGGAAAAGAGCGTTATACTTGAGTACATAGGCTGTATCTACTTTTCCACCTTTCCCGATCATTTTTATTTTCATAAGGTTTTATTACTCCTTGTTTTTATAAAGTGGAGATGGTGTAAGCTGAGGAAATTTAAGGACTAGCTTGTTTGAGGTTTATGGCAAAAGACGCAGTGGACAATAGGTTACACACATTGGTAGTTGTTGAATAGTTGTTAGGGATGATGTGCAGTGGGAATGGAATTATCTTGGGATAACTGACAGAATTGGACATATTTACTATACACGCTGTGAGAGACTTCTGGTGAGATGTTTTATCTTTTTGGTCTCTTCAAACTAAAAACAGTGGCTTTAGGAATTACTGTTTATTTTACTTGACATTCGTTTGATGTGGCATTTATGTTCAGTCAGATGCATTTGACTCCGCATGATTAGTTTTAACATTTTTGAGAGACTGGCATCTATAGCTCAGTAAACCATATAGAATGCCCTGGCATCCGCTTACCGATAAATCAAGTCATGTTTCTTCACTATAATTCTTTTCTAGGGATCTGTTGGAGAAGAGTAAGGGAGAGTAATGGTTTCTGTAAGCAGTAGAACTTCACTTTTTTAAAACAATTGATTTTTGAGAAAAAGAATCCACTTTAGGAGAAGTGCCAGATTTCCAGGATGTAACGCTCAAAAGGACAGGACCACCACCATAACCTAATTTCGTATTCCAGAATGTGCTGGGTGCCCATGCTAGTCTCTTCATGTTAACGTATTTGGTGGTTTGTAGATTCCAGAAGCCTTGGTAACAGTTTTTTGGATATAGGGGGAAAGTTACGCATTGGAGCTTGAGCTTTCAGCTTGAAGGCCCTATCTTTCAGAACACATGAATTCAAATTGTATTGATAGTTCTAGATTGCCAGTCTCTGTATAATAGGTATCATTTGTGAATGAGCATGGTCTTTGGCACATAGTAGGTGCTCCTTAAATATTTACTGTTGACCAGCATGAACCAGCTAATAATGTTCCATTGCTCCTTGGGGCCTTTCATGTGGTTGATATAAACCACAGTGCTCAAGTCATTAGCATTGTCTATATTGATCTATTAGTTAGTGAAATTAAAGGTGTATCTCATCTTCTGCCCATGTTTTGATTTACATTGACCACCAGAAAGCCCCTCAGGACATTAGCCTATTGTAATACAGTTGTAAACTGTGAGGCTTTCTTCCAGATGGCAGGACTTGGCAGGCAGCACTTGGATAAGCAGAGCTTGTCCAAATGTCTAGAAAAATCTTTATTCAGGACTTTATAAATAGTACATTTAATTAAAAACAAAATTAAACACATGGTGACTTAAGGAACTTCAAAAGCACTAAGTAAAAATCAAACTACTAAAGTGTTTGCTTTTAATTTTTATCAGTTTCATTGTTTTAAGTAAGATTTTTTTTTATGTTCTTGAGTAAGTTAAATCAAATTCGAATAGGTTGCAGAGACAGATGCTCTTGCTTGAACCATATTGTAACACACGTATGAAATTATTTCTTGCTATTTCTATAAGCAAAATGTACCCATCACAGCATACAAAGAATTTTCTTTTTACTGTATAACACTTCCTTTGATGTACATGTAAGTCATTTTTACTTCAACACTCTGAAGCTATCGAACAAGTCTAAGTTGAGATCTATTTACTTGCCCTTGTCTGTCCTGGCAAATAATAGGTGTTCATCAAATATTACTGTATTTAAAAAAACAAAACTGGGGTGTGTGCACCCCTTAGTGCTTCAGAAGATCCATGACCTTTCTAAAATTGTTAGCAAAATTTATGTTACATGCATTTTTCTGGGGAGAGGGGCCATAGTGTTTCATCAGGTTCTTCCACAATGCTACCTAACTTCCATTTTTTACAGTCCCTCATCTTGGACCTGGAAAATCAGTAGCTGTGCAAAAAAGGAATGTTCAAAATGCAAAAGAAAAAACATAGACACTGTGATGAGCCTTTTATTTCCTCTTTGAGAGGACAGTTTTTTACTTGGAATTTTTGAGAAATCTGTTTTCTGTACTTCAAATGGCTCCTTTTTCTCCCGTTTCCCCAGTGAATTAGTGAACTGCTCGCTGCCACTTCCCTCAGGGCAATCTATCTAGGAAACTTGCCTCCCCTCATTGCTTCTCTCCCCTAAATCCACTTGCTGTGAAATTTTCTGTCCTGGTATCATCATCTCAAAATCACCTAGGCTGAAAGCGCAAATTTTTTATTTTTTTTTAACTCTTCTCTTGTTCTCTCTCTCTCTCTTTTTTTTTTTTTTTTAGCTGAGCCGTCCTGCCACCTGTTGGTAGCTCAGCGGCTGCTCAGCTCGGGCTGGGACTCAAACCGCTGTTGCTCAGAGCTCAAACTCTTGAGCGAGCTCTTAACCAACTGAGC